GTAACTGAAACTGGGTTTATAGTTATTTGTGCCAAAATTTTTAAAAGGACATGTTTGTGAGCTTTCTCCAAAACTACACTAGTTCTGTGAAATGAACACTAAAACAGAAAATAACTGAAGGAATGGAGTTGATGAGCAGTACAAGGTTATCTACATGCAAAAATGATGGTATCATAAATTATTCTAAACTTAACTGGTTTTAGCATATGGGGACACTTCATATAAGTGTTGCTCCCTTGAGATGAAGATGTTTTAGTGTATAAGCAAAGAGAGAACCTGCATCCTCTGGTCCCTAAGTCACCTTGTTTCAGTAGCATTTAAAGGATGTATCCTATAATTGTTACTCAAATAATACTTCACTTTTTGTGTTCTTTGCTAGGTGATTTGAATGCTTTGGTGTCACCATCCAGAGGTTCTCCCTTGTCATTCCCAGGACCATTTTCATCTTCCCCAGTTTGCTGCAGTTCTGTCTTGTCCTTCTGCTTCCTTGTCTTCTGCAGGTCAGCCATGAATTCTATACTTTGTTTCAGGCTCTGAATCCTCTCCTAAAAAACACCAAAATCCTTTTATTTGTTTCTTCAATGAATCTCTCTGTAACCTACCCAGAGAGGTTGATTTTATTTCAGCTCTTTCTTTCTTACACTAGCAAATATAAATGCAGTTTAGAAAATTAAATACAAAAGGCAAGTACTTCTTCAATAACTGATCTGGCAGCAGTAGTAAAACAATGTACTACTTAAATTCCAATATACAAGCATTTGACAAATATTAAGCAAGTTTTTATTAATTTTCATGAAATCGCTGTAAAAAGAGGGATCAAAAAAAGAAGCAGCATATTTTTTAATATTTTGGTTTGTATTTTTTATTACCTGGCTAAGTATCTTCATCCCTGAGTGTAGCAGTTTTTTTGCAGCTTTGTAGTAAATGGTGTCTGGTTTGTTGTAAATCATTGCATTAGTACACATCAGTTTGAAGTTATCCTGTACAAACATTAATAAATTTGGAATGAAAGTTAAAATTTTATAGTGCACTATACCTTGTTGAAAATGCAGTGTCTTGAGCTTTAGGGAAAAAACCCTTAAAGAACATTTTTAATGAATGAATTTAAGAAATCTATTAAACATGTAAATAGAAATAAGTATGTAACTTCATTTTGAGACTTGAATCTCTCAGCCCAATAAGCATTCTGAAAGTATTCTTAAGTATTGTTTGTAATTAAAGTTTAAAAAGTTTTAATGGAAGCTCTCATAGCTACACTTGCCCAATCAGTAGTCATTAAAACAAAAAGTGAAGCAACATCAGTAAGACAATGAAAAGCTGCAGTTCAAAGCTGAACTATTACAAAGAACACACTAATGTTACAATGTCTTCAGTTAGAATGAGGAAACATCAGCTTGTTTGAATTTCATTTCTTGAGTAACTGATCTAGAAATTGCACTTCTATACCCACTGCAAAGCCTCTATAGGCTTTGTTTTATCACATTCTCAGCTGTTTACTAAGTTAAAATTAAAAACTAACCAGAAACAGCTGAAATAACAGGGAATATTCTTCTGTAGTTTCAGAGATCTAAAGAAGTATGTGCAAGAAAATACAACATCTTACCTAACTGTTAATTACACACAAACTACGTCTCTCAGTCCTCATCTAGCCCAGTAAAGAACTAGAGTATTTCTGCTGAAGAAAACAGAACGAAACAAGGCCACACAGATTTTAAAAGCTTCAGGGGCTTTCAAAACAGGCCCTCGAATGCACTAGACATGCTACAGCACAGGCTAAGTGGTTGCTGTCAACAGGACAGAGCTCATCATGCCTTCACTTGCTGTTGATCTACATGACCAGATAAGCCTGGAAAACGTAAGACAGGCAAAGCCAATGAATTGACCACTCCTTGGTTTTGGAGAGGCAATACCTTAAACAAAAAAGAGCAGTCTGACAAAAATGCTAACATTTTAATCCTTAACTAACGATCTAAAATGACAGGCTGAAGGACAAACTGACAGGTTCCTAAAACCACCTGTACTTTTTTGAGATGTGCATTTACAAACCAGAACTGTTTTTTCTTTTACTTTCAGAACTTATTTGGTTACAAAAATTCAACAAGAAGCAATTCTTCAAGCAGAACTACTAGTTCTTTCTGGAATCTTCATATTCACATAAAATCCTACAGCTCAAGTCAATTGAGCATAATACTTCTCTAGTCAAAACAAAATTTAAAGCACTACCTTTAATTCTTCTATGGACTGGTACCCATTGTTCTTGATCTTCTCTTTCATGGTACTAAAGTCCATTGGGTTTTTAATGATCATGGAATAGCCAGGGGCAATAAAGTCAGTCACAGGAAATGAAAAGAAAGAACTTGGATCCTTTCTGTCAAGAAATGAAAGACAGTTTTTTATGTTTCAACTTATAACAAAGAGTTTGGAATTAAATAGAAAGGAAAGAACTAAGCTGAAAAGGAATCAGAAACATAAAGCTAGAAATGGCTTGTGTCAGCACAATCGTTCACTTTTGAGGTTGAAAAGATCTCATAGGCAAACCCATACACCAAAAAAGTGCTGCAAACATATTCTAGAAGTTATTTCTATATTTAGATAAGTACCCCAGTTCCAAGATGAAAGAAAACCTAAACTTTTTCTTTTAAGGCTTTGGATTTTCATCAAGGGGTTTATAAACCCCTTTTCATAACGGGGTATATGAATTATAGTATAATTAAGTTATTAAAAAATAAAGGAACAAATGTCATAAGAATGTGTTCTTGTAATTCATCGCTTACTCTGAAGTTATCAGAAGGGAAAGCTTGTTGCTAAAAGTTGTGATAGAATCTGTGTATTTACATTAATTTTCAGGTTGTGTGAAATAGTTTTTTTACATTAACATATCCTAAGACTTTCAGTGATCTCTGACATACAGTGACATTCCTGGGTGTTTCTACCAGCCTTAAAATCAAAGGGAAAGATCGTTCAACTACTCTTGTACAAAAGTCAAGACAGATTTTCTTAAACCAGAGACTGCCTGAAAGAACTGCAAATTTGATTATTTTAATGAAAAGACATTTGGTTAATAAGACAGTAAGAGAACATATTTGAAGTTTTGTGCATATTTCCTTTTTATAGTAAATAATGCTAAAATAGGAAAACTTAAGGTAAAAGTTTTGGCCAAGTTGATTCCAAACTCTTTTGTCTCCCTTTCAAAAGCTTCTTATGAACAAACCATCACATTATTGGAAAATTGTCCTGGTTTTGAAAGTTTTTTAAAGTACTATACACTTGAAACTGGATGTGTTTACAAGAAGCTTAAGCTGAGGAGAACTTCTAAGTACATGTTCTTAAACTAGTACTTAAATTCCTAAAATAGCCCTCTTAGCAAGATATTTAGCAATAATATTTTAACTGAACTTTTTATATGCCTCTTCCCCCACTGTATGTTATTTTCATTCCACGGCTCTAAAAGCCTTTAGCACAGACATTTACCTCTGCAGCTGCCTCATGAGTTGATTCAGAGCTTCCTGAAGTGGTGTCTGCTCCACCTCTAGATCAAAAAGAAGTGGGGAGAAAAGGGTGTGAGACAGAACTGACTGCAAGAGGCATTAAACTTCCGAGATATTAGAAATCAACTGAACAAAACTGATGCAACTTGAGAATTAATTCAATATGAAAGAAAAGAATACAGTGGCAAACCCCACGATACATACAAGGGATCTACTTTTCTCATTGCCCTTACTTGACATTCTGCTCACTCTGACACTGGTACCAGATACCACTCTGCAAAACAAGGATACAGTAACCTAATTCCAAATTTCTGTGCGAGATGGAGAAAAACAGAGGTGGCAAAAAATATCATGTCACTTCTTGCAGAAACAAAGAAAAATAAAACACGAGTCAATTAAAGAGAAAAGGAATTAGCAAAAGAAACTTCTTTTTTCCCCCCCCTACCTTCCTGCTTTGATAAAGTGCTCGTCAGTGGTTTCTCTGGTGACAATTCCATCCTGACGGGGGTCTGACATTTCATTTCCTGCTCTCCCTCACTGTCTGCATGGTCTCGATCTCGTTTCTTTTTATCCTCCTAGGAAAGATTGTTATGGAAATTTCACAGCACCTGCAAACTCAGCATTGTTACTGTACATAACGCTCTCCGCATTTTTCAGAACAACCTCAACAAATTTAAAAAATAAGAATAGTTTGTCTTTAAACACCTTGTATTCTTTATGTACTGTCTCCATCTGCTGGACACTGAATTAATTCAGCCATACAATGCAATGCATCACTGAATTAGTCTTTTAGAAAATGTGACAGCTGTCTGATGTGTGTCCCTCACGAGTGGGACAGGAACAACTCAGCACAGAGAATTGTCCTAAGATGATTTTTTGAAGGTTTTAGAAAAACTAAGTAAGAAATAGTCAGGAAATTTAAGATTAGAGGTATTCATAGTACTTCAGAAAAAGTGTTATAATTACTTACCATGTTAAGAACTCTGACAAGGAAATGCTTTATTTTTAGTTTTTAATTAAGAACTTGTTAAGTCTTTATGTTTCATATAAACGGATTTGTTTAGACACAGAATTCCCCTCCCCTTTTCAATTCTCTGTGCTTTTATACTTGCCAATATTTTTCAAAAAATGAGAAATTTCAGATTACTCATCTTTTTCCAATAAAAGTACTTGGGAAAAAGGAATCAGCACAGGTAATACACCGAGTTTGAATGTATTCCAGTTTAAGACTACAGGTTACAGTCGTATCTGCTCCCCCTCTGATGTGAAGCCCAGAGAAAGGCGGAGTTGCTACTTCTTTTTTTTTTTTCCTAAAGTGCAGTAGCACGAACACATACCTTAACTTTTCTCTTTCTTTTCTCCTTTTCTTCTCCGGGAACTTGTTTTTCTCCTTTCTTTCTTTTTTTCCTTTTTCTGTCCTTGTGTTTTTCATGCTCAGATTTGTCTTCGTAGAGGGCGGAATCAAGTCCCGCATTTCCAGTGGAGAGTTCAGCAACTTCGCTTCCTCCAACTTTCAGCACCAGTTTCAGCGGTTTTTCCACATATTCTTAAACCAGCAGAGAAACAAACCGTGAGTACCGCAGAAAACACACTCCCCAGCCCGAACAACCCTGCACCGCCTCAGGCTCCTTCCAAAGCCTGTCACTGCCCCAGGTTTAATTTCCAGACCCTCTTGTTGCCTCTCCCCCCCGACAGAGCCGAGCCCGACGCGCATCTCCCCGCCCCGGGCCCGCCGGCGGAGCCAGGGCCGCGCTCCCCCCGCGCTGCCGCAGCCTCACACCCCACTTCCCAAACGGCCCTGGGATCTGAGGGCCCGCCCGGCCGCCCTCCCTGTAAGGACCCACCCTCGTAGGGGTGTTTGTCCGACTTGTGCTTCTTGTGCTTCTTGCCCATGGCCGCGGCCCGGCCCGCCCGCTGCGGCCGCGCTGTTGTGGAGGAGCCCGGCCCGGCCCCGCCGACCGGCGGAACCGATGGTGGCGCGCGTCGCCCCCTGGCGGCCTGGAGGTCCGGCGCAGGCGCAGTGGAGGGCGGGTGTGGGGAGGCTGGGGAATGGGATGCGTGTTCTGGGATGTGTGATCTCTGATCCCTGATGTCTGATCCCTGATGTGTGATCTCTGATCTCTGATCCCTGAGCTGTGATCCCTGACCCCTTCTGTGATCCCTGATCCGTGATCCGCGCCTGTGAGCGGCGAGCTCGCGGCGTTTTCCCTTGCGATCATCCTCCTCGGCTCCTCGGGCATCGGTGCCTCTGTAGAGCCTTCATAGCGTCCTACGGAATCGTAGAATCGTCAGGGTTGGAAGGGACGTCTTAATATTATCAAGTCCAACCACCAAACCAGCACTGTAACCACTAAAGCACATCGCCCAGCGCCAGATCCAGGCGCCTCCTAAACACTTCTGGGGATGGTGACTCCACCACCGTCCTGGGCAACCTATCCCAATGCCTGACCAGCCGAACAGTGAAATAGTTTTTTCTAATACCTAATCTGAATCTCCTCTGTCCTGCGCCTCCCCTTAGCTTCCCACGCCCTGTCCCTTCATGCAGCCGCCAGCGATTTCCCTCCCGCTCCCCTGGAGATGCCCCTCGCTCCCAGCCCGAGGGCGCTGTGCCTTCAGCCCTGTCCCCTCTTCTTTCCACCCTTGGGTCTCTGGGGCAGTGCAGCGTTTCAGTGGCTTCTGCAGGATTCACAGAATCAGAGGATCAATTAGGCTGGAAAAGACCTCTAAGGTCGAGTCCAACCTATGACCGATCTCCACCATGTCAACCAGACCATGGCACTGAGTGCCACCTCCAGTCGTTCCTTAAACACTTCCAGGGACTGTGGCTCCACCACCTGAGCACTCAGCCCGAGTCCTCCTGTGGTTGCAGCAGCTGGTGCTGCAGAATCTCCCCTGCCATGGCTGTAAGTGCCAGAGGGTAAATGTGAGACCAGCAGAAGGGTTATATATACCTGAGGAAGGGTTTGCAGGCGTGTGCAGAGTCTGTACTGATCCAAAGGATGGGTCCCTCCTGTGCCCTGGCAAACAGCAGTGATGGTTGTGCCTGTCCTACACAGGCTGGGATGGACTTAGCCTCACAGCCTGAGTTCCTAAACTTGCTTACCACTTCTCAAAGCAAATACTTTATAATCAGGTTAAAAAATCTAAGGGAAATATATGTATATTGTCCATTACAGGTTAAAAATAATTTAGAAATTCTGACTTGTAAGGAATGGTGGAGGTTGACACATTTGCCCATTTGCCTTGCCTGGCAGTACTTTCCAGAGAAAGCAAATGGTTTTCAAAATTAAATACAACACTAATTGTATAGTCTTTCAAAATTAATAGTGTATTTGTTGCTATTGCTTAAACTGTAGTCGTTGCTGTTTCAACAGCACTGTGTGGGTCTTGTTTTCTGCTAACACATCTTCTGTAATGCATCTTGGAGTTGTACTTCTCTGAAGTTTGGAGTGCAAAAATAAACTGCTTCTATTTCAAAAGAGAACCTTTAATTTATTCCCACACAACAGTCCTGTAAATATTCCTCAAGTTTGTTGAATCATATGAGATGCTTTATAGCAAAAAAAAAAATGTTGTTAATTAGAAATTTATGATACGTGTGGCTGTACATCGATACAAAGTTTATTTTAAGCGCTTGAGAAGATCGAAAAAATCTCTTGTCTGTTGTCCATTCAGACGCTGGGAATGTAATCAGATGTGACAGCTTTGTTTTGCATTTCGCCGGTTACATTTACTGTCATTTGGTATCCTGCTCAGAGAATTGTGTGGGTGGTGCTCTGGAATAGACCACAACTTTCCTGCTTGATCTTACTCCAGTAGTTTGAAATTAAGCTATAATAGACACAGTTGTTTTTCTAATTCACATCTGGATCCTTTAATACTCTTATTACATATGCAGTGAATGTTCTTAAGCATACTTTAGTGAGAGGTAGAGGGCTTTTGCGTGGGTTGTGGCCACATGTAAAAAATACAAGACTAGTAAATATTTAAAGGACATGTTTTATAGAATGAAAAAAAAGTCACTATATCCTCTGTTCCCGCAAGAGGACTGGCAGACTTTCTAAGGTTTTTTCTTTTAAATGTCTTGTGGCAAGGCCATTTGTTGAATTGTTATTCTGAAATTTCCTGACTAATCTTGTCCTAAATTCAATAAAATCTGAGACAATTATACACAAGCAAGTAATGTAAGATATTGTAAATATTGAGAGCTGCCCTTTCTAGGTGTCTTGTTCAATAGCATCGTCTGGATCAGAGAAAGATAATTTTCTTAATGGTTAGCCTCACACACATACCTGGAATACACATTGGGTTTGCCATCCTTGTCTCTAGCTCTGCTTTGCTATCAGAAGATGAGTATTTCTTTCTCCTCCAAGTTCCTTATGCCCTGTTTGGGCATAATGTCTAAAATGCCATTTGGAAGCCTATGAAAAGTTTTATCACTGTCTGATATTAGAAAGGCAAGGTCTCATTCTTGTTGGTTGAATGGGCAGGATTAATAATTTCAATTCATTGCATATATTCTGAGGGTCGTGTTCCTCATCTTAATCAGTGTCGAGTTTCTATAGCAACCAGCAATTAAGAGTGAGAGACAATAATGTGTGTTGCTATCACTGTTAGCTACTAAGAGTAACAGAGAAAATGTTGGAAAATAGATCGTATAATCATAGAATGGTTTGGGTTGGAAGGAACCTTAAAGGCCCTTTAGTTCCAACCCCTCTGCCATAGACAGGGACAATCTTCAGTACACCAGGTTGCTCAGAGCTCCACCCAGCCTGGTCTTGAATGCTGCAAGATGTTTTCACATGTACCTTTTTCCATCTCTGAAAGAACTCGGATTGAGATCTGTGGAAAGCATAAGGTCATATTAGTGTATATTCACTTAATTAGGCATCAAATAATGTAATTATTTAAATTGGTCATGGTTATTTTGGGGTTTTTTACCCTGAACATTGAGAAAAGAAATATGCAATAAACACATTTGTGGGTTAAGCACATTATTTGTGGGTTTGTTTTTGATCAGTGGCTATATAACATAACCATTATAATTTAATGTGTTAACAGAAATATAAAAAACTTGTTGAAACCTTGTTGCTTTCTTCACTAGTTTAGGAAGAAGAGGTAGATCCTGGTAACATCAGAAATATGCAGAGGCCATGGCAAAGCACAGGAGGCAAGTGTGCCAAATATTTCAGAAGAAGGTTTCTGTGAGTGTACAAGCACGTAGAAGCTTGGGAATGCTAAAATCACTGGGAATTTTTCATAAGCAGGTTTGGTTTGTAGTTTGTGACACACAGAAACATCGGGATAAACAGCTTTTGTGACAGATGGTAATTTTAAACCAGTATTTTACACTTGAACAACTTCCTGAAAATACCTGAACACATATGGCTGAAGTAAAGAATGTAGTCAATATTTTATTGATTGTTGTGTTATTAATATGATTTTTAAATCAGTTACCCATTAGCTGAAAGATGTGATCAGTGTGACTGTTTCCATGATTCTGTGAGTATTAAAGGAACACTGCCATTTTCCATGTGCATGTCCTGGCAAAATCTAGTGTGACAGATGAAATTTTTTCCCTTAATTTGAATAGACTGTCTCATCATTATGATGCATTTTCTATTTTCAATTTAGCATTGAAGTGCTGCATATTGTCTAATTCATTTATTCATTATAATAAGCAATTATCTCTTTCTAACCCAACGTCCTCAAGACTGTAATAAACTTTATAATAAGATTGTAACAGAGTCATAATTATGGATGATTAATTTATTGTCCATAGAGAAGTCATATTGATCGTGCTGTTACATCAGTGCACGCATGTTTGTATAAGTCTGTGTTTTGTAAATATCTTTCCTGTGACCTTGCCCAAATCTTGCAGGAGCCTCTTTTAATAACTCTCTTTTGAAGTTATTTTATGCACCTGAAGAAATACCTTGTTGCACCTCTGAACTAAAATAGCAAAATTTTTCCTAGACATGCATGAAATTGCATGAAATTTAAACATTTATGACCTTGGTTCCTGGCTGCTATTGCTGCACAGGTTGGGAAAATTAAACAGGATTCAGCTGGATCCACATAGCTTCCCTCACAAGTGGAGATCGATGGACAAATGAGATTTATCCATCATCCCTGCTTTTCCCCAGTCAAGTGGAGGATTTGGAGCAAAAGAAGAGAGAAACCTGAACAGCGAACAAACTGGAACTGAAGCCTGTCTTAGCAGCTGCAGCAGGTAATTTCCTTGAGGAGCAGAGGTCTTACTGGCAGAGGCCTTTTTTTTTGCTTCTTTTAATCTTCATTCCCTCTCCCTCTTTCTTTCCATTTGGCTAGACCTTCCTAAATAGAAATCCCACTTGTATACATGAGTGGGGATAGTTGAAATCTGCATCCCATTGTATTCTTTACTTGCTTAGTAGTTACATTTGCCTACTTCAGGCTTTCTCTAAGCTCTTTAGGGCAGCAGCTATCAGGGGGTGAATTTCCTGGAACAAATCAAGAACAGAAGCCTCCCTCTGATTGCCTTGTGCTTGTAGCCACATAGTAGGGCAGTGACTCTGCTTCTGTGCATGTCTAACTCAAACCCATGTGACTGCTGCATGCAACCTGCCTACTGTCTTTCTACAGTGCTTGGAACAACAAGGTCCAAAGTTTTGCTTGGCATTTGCTATAATCATGTGGAAAGAAGTGTTTCCCTCAGGCTTGGAGGGGTATTTAACTCTTAATAAGAGTTTCTCAGCAAGACAGCTTAAGGAATGCATTATTTTAAAATAAATTTTTTTTCTAGGGCAGTGTTGTCTAGATGGTGAGCTAAATATTGTCAAAATATGGAGCAGATTTCCAGATAAAGCCCTACCATCTGGTAGCAGCATAAGACTGGGCATTGAAAATGAGGATGGAAAGTTTGAAATCTAATTTTAACTGGTGCATGCAACCTAATATTTTTTTTGAGATGTAACCGAATTATATTCTGAGCCTGCTCCCACTGCCCTTGCTCATATGTGCAGTCCTGCTCATTTCAAATGCATGCAAGCTTTGCTTGTTCAATTAAGGTGTTACAGGCATATTCTGAACTTCCTTGATTCACATGCTTGACCAGACTTTAGTTGAAGTCCTAAACTGTTTTTTTCCCCCACAATATGTATATTAATTACTTTTGTCATATTTTAAATTTACTGAAGTATCTAAAATCATCATACTGAAGTATCATAGCAGACACATTAGACATGTATTACCCAAGTAGAGGTGGAGAGAATGCTTTTCCTAGTAAGTTTTAGAGGAAAAAAAGTTAAAAAAAATTTGTACTTGCATTGAATTTGTACTTGTAAGCTATAATAGGAGAAAGTTTAATATAAGTGTCTAGTAGAATCTCTCAGATGACACTCCCATTAATTTTTTTAGTTAAGGTAGCAATTCAGTATTTTAATTACATTTTGCTTTGTGCAGTGAAGTCTCTAGAGGAAACAAAGTGAACAGAAATGATAAGAGCATTAGGCCACTTGGTGGTGTAATATGCAAAGGAAAAGCAACCTGTCATGTTCAAGTAACAGGAATGTACATAATAGACCATTCTTATTTGCTTGTTATCTGATTAAGCACAGTACAAGACATTACCACAGACAGTTACTTTTTAAAGACCTTTAATTTCAAGGAGATAGGCAAGTAGATTTGTAGTATGAATTCTGTGTTTAGCTCAGGTCTTACTTAAGGCGTTTGTGTTCAAGCTGTTAATGGCCTGTTAGTCATTTCAGAAATCCTGATAATAGTTCTCTGTGAAAAATCTATAATTTAAAAATGGAGAGGGCCACATGGAATCTGCCGTGTGTGACTTCAGTAAGAGCTTTGGTTTTCATCTGTTGGAGTCTGGTGTCCCTCACATTCCCAACAGATGCAGCAGTTTCTCCCCAAGTATTTCTGTTTTATACACATGACTGAGGAGCTGGGGAGGAGCTGTGGAATTGCAATGCTTTGGGAGATGTTTGAGCTGCACAAGCTGTGCCAAGAAGGCAGAGGGAATGGGCACCAACAGTCCCCTATGCTCTCCTGCAAATGCATCCACCTGACAAAGATACATGTGAAACACATGTACACTTGTGCATTGAGCACCAAAAGGGAGTGTAGTGTGTGCAAGATCAGGTTGTTGGGGCCTATTTATATTTCTCCATGCAATAAGAAGAATTAAAGGTCCAGCCTTCCACTGTCTTTTAGTTTAAACTTCTTTAAAGCAGATGTTTCAGCTCAGCAGGATGCCACAGGGTCTGCAGTGTGTGCAGAGACAAAAATGTTTGTTGTATGCACTGGTGTACATGTCAAGGGAGAAAAGTGAGGATAAAAGAATCGGTATAATGCTGCTCTGCAAATTGTAGCAGAAGTAAACAATTTCTGTGCTAACTGGGGTCCACTAAAGAATGTCATTTTTAGTCAAACTATTGTTCTGAAGTGGTAATAAGAATTTTCTTTTCCAGGGAAAAATAAAAACGAAGGAAAAAGGAGTAAATTTCCATTCCTCCTTGACAGAAACATCAAACTAACAGTTAAGTTTCATTTTCAGATTGAGAAAGGAAAAAATAAATATGTTTTGACTGGTATTTGGCTTGAGTTTGGTTTGGCTTTTTACCCTACAACATAGAAAGAAATAACAAATTAAGAACAACTTCATCCTGGACTGTTCAGATTAAACTGAAGTTCTGATTTGTCCTTGATGATTGTGCCATATTTAGGTGCTAAAAGAAGTAGCAGGTACTTGCTAATGGTAGGGCAAGCAACCAGAGTAGTGTCCCAGTGGGTACTAAACTACTGGGACCTTGACTTAGGTTTTTCTACATTTCTCTGTCAGTCCAAAATGTACAGCTGGAGTGAGAACTTCATGTATTGCCTGGAAGAGCTGTAAGAAGGGGCTTACTCTTTAAATTGGTACAGAGCCTACTCCTGTGCTTCAGAAGACAGACACTACCAGTGATGGTTACTTGTTCCTTATCATGCTTGTTGTTATGGATAATGACATTCTGGATCATGTTGTCCTGGAATACCTTCAGCACTTCACAGATTTTTACATAAATTAGACCTGAAATATTTTTGACTTTCCTACCACAAGCCAGGTGGCGGATAATTGATCTCCTTATGTTGGACTTTCTCCTTACACTTCCAAGTGGTTCTGATGACCAAAGGTGTAGTATACATGGGGAACACAAAATTTTAGCCCCCTTGCCTAGCTCCTGTGATATACTCTGCAATTTTTTTCTCTGAGTAGAAGCTTGGAGGAGGGCAGCATAAACAGAGTGTACTGTAAGGTCACTTGACCCTTTAGATTTCTGATTATATGTAACCAAAATAATACTATTTCAATATCCAGAGATTAAGGACCTGTTGCAAGCTATGAATCTCTCAGAAATTAATACTTAGAAATTACTATGAACTTTTGGTTTAAGCTTCTGTTTTTTTTTTTTTTTTTTTTTTTTTTTAAATTCTGAACCCACTTGGTAGAACACAGAGTCTTTAGAAGAAATTGGGGTCAGAAAGTTGACAGTTGCAGAAAGGAAATGAAATTAAATGAAAACTATGAGAAATTTGTCTGGCTAGGTCGTTGTCTGGCTAGAGTTCTGCACCAATTTTAGTTCTTCCAAAGGCTTTAAGAATAATTAGCCTGATGTGGAATTTGAGGAGAGATGGATGCAATTTGAGAGGAGGAACATGGCTCCACTCTAACTCCATTATGGTTCTGTTTATTATACTCCTCTTCTATTGAGAGGGTTTGCTGAAAAAAATGTACTAAATGGCAACTATATCTTCAATTTTTTATCACCTTTAAAGAAATAAAACCCTCATTTGCTCAAGGGAGATGGGAAGGAGTTTAAGAATTTAAGCATGTAACTGTTCAGATGGAGTTTGTTTGGTTAGACCAAAATTCCTTATGTCATCACTCATTACTGTTGTTGTAGCAAGTGTTTATGCATGAGTGTCCGAGAAGAACTGAGTGCGCTCAGTTCAAAATGGCCTTGTCAGACTGCATGAAGTATTCACTCTGAGACATACATGGAAATACATGTTTTATGATTTATTCTGACAGGATATTCACATTGCTGCTTCAAGTGTTTCTCCAGATCTCTTCACAGTAGATGATCAATTAGTGCTTTACTTATTCTTTCTATTAACTTAAAACAAGAAAACGACAATATGGCCACTTGTCATGGGACTTTTGTGTATCCTGTGAAATGGAATCAGTCAGGTCAGTGATCTGTCTGGTTCTGTCACAAACAGGTTCTTAGAGAGCTACCTCTTGTGGCAGCACCTTCCTTGTTCCCCCTCTGGTGGAAAGAAGGTCAACTGAATTACAACTCTCTGTAGGCAAGAAGAGGGTAAGAATCAGAATCTGATCCTGGAATTGGAATGGACTTTTTGTGTAGGTTTTTGTAAACCCTTCTTTCCCTTCTGCAGTCTCCTTGTGTCCAATGGTGACTGCTAATTCTAAAAATTGCTTATCTGAACAGGTTATGAAAGTTTACAGAGTTACATTAGGTAACAAATGCATGGTCAGGTCCTGATGTTACATCCTCATGTCAAAGATTTATGTCTCTGGAGGACTTGCCTTGCATGCTGAGGATGGAGTGATCCACTAGTATTTGAAGTTTTAAGCTCATGTTTTGTTTTTCACCATACCTTATGGCAGGTGATTCCACAAGCAGATTGGACAAGAAGGTGTTTTCACTTTTATCAATGTTACATTTTCTGTCCGTTTCATTCACGTGCTCTTGTTTTTCTGTACAGAACAGCATGAATTTCAGTCCATGTTACACTCAGGCCAAATTTTCTTGGAAAACCAAAACTGATTGTTTAACCTTATAGCAAGCTAGCCAGTGTTTTTGCCCTAAAACCATAGTGTTTTGAGTCACATAACTTCTTGCCTTCAATATTTTTCTTTTGTTTCTTTGTTTCTAAAGAAGAAATTTTTCGGTTTTGTTGTTGCAGGTTATAAGTTGAAAATGTGCATTCCTGAGAGTAAACTCACAGAAAATGGAAGTATACAAGTTATATTTGTTTAAAGGTAATATTATTACTCTAGTGGATAAAGCCAAATTTGTTACATTTTGAATGCTTGGTGTAGCTATTTTTTTTCTATTAAGGCTTGTCTTTATGGAAATATGTGATCATTGAAAGTATTTCTGATTGTGGCTCCTGATCTCAAGCCAATCCTAAATACTGTTGTTCATAGGAAGCAGTTCAGGAAGAAGTT